AATATCTAACAAGTTAGACTTCAAACCAAAATTAATGAAAAGATATGAAAACGGTCATTTCATATTCATCGCAGGAGAAATCCATCAACACAAAGTCTCAGTTCTGAACATCTATGCCCCTAATACAAAGGCACACACATAAGTAAAAGAAACGCTACTTAAACTCAAGGCTCATATAAAACCTCACACACTTATAGTGGGAGACTTCAATACACCACTCTCAACACTAGACAGGACCACCAATCAGAAACTCAACAAAGAAACAAAAGAATCAACAGAAGTTATGTCTCAACTGGGGTTAACAGACATCTACAGAACATTCCATCCAAAGACAAAAGAATATACCTTCTTCTCTGCTCCACATGGAACCTTCTCTAAAATCGACCACATACTAGGTGACATAACAAACCTCAACAGATACAAGAGAATAGGAATAGTCCCCTGTATCTTATCAGACCACCATGCTTTAAAATTGGAATTCAACAACAACACAAATAGCAGAAAACCTGCAAACTCATGGAAACTGAACAATGTGCAATTGCACCACTCCTGGGTCAAAGAAGAAATAAAGAAAGAAATTAAGGACTTTCTAATATTCAATGAGAATGAGGATACAACATACCCGAACTTATGGGACACCTTGAAAGCAGTGCTACGAGGGAAGTTCATTGCACAAAGTGCCCATATGAAGAAAATAGAGGATAGTCACATAAGAGAATTAACAGCACAACTGAAAACCTTAGAACAGAGAGAAGCGAATTCAACCCGCAGGAGTAGACACCAGGAAATAATCAACTTGAGGGCTGAAATCAACAAAATAGAAACCAGGAAAACAATACAAAAAATCAATTCAACAAACAGTTGGTTTTTTGAGAAAATCAACAAGATAGACAAACCTTTATCCAAATTAACGAAAAAGCAGAGACAGAACATGCAAATTAACAAAATCATAAATGAAAAGGGGAACATAACAACAGACACAGAGGAAATCCAGACAATTTTCAGGTCATACTTTGAAAATCTGTATTCCACAAAAATTGAAAATTCAAAGGAAATGGACAAGTTTCTGGATAACTATCACTTACCAAAATTAAATCAAGAACAGACAAACAACTTAAATAGACCTATAACCCGCAATGAAGTAGAAGCAGTCATTGAAAGCCTTCCAACCAAAAAAAGTCCAGGGCCAGATGGATTCAGCGCAGAATTCTACCAGACATTCAAGGAAGAACTAATACCACTACTCCTCAAACTGTTCCACAAGATAGAAACAGAAGGTTCATTGCCAAACTCTTTTTATGAGGCTACCATAACTTTGGTACCCAAGCCTCTCAAAGACACAACTAAGAAAGAAAACTACAGACCAATATCCTTGATGAACATTGATGGAAAAATACTCAATAAAATACTGGCAAACTGAAACCAAGAATACATCAGAGAAATCATCCACCATGGCCAAGTAGGCTTCATACCTGGAATGCAGGGATGGTTTAACATATGAAAATCTATCAACGTGATCCACCATATAAACAAACTGAAAAAGAAAAACCATATGATTATCTCCCTAGATGCAGAAAAAGCCTTCGACAAAATTCAACACCCTTTCATGATAAAGGTCTTGGAGAGGTCAGGGATAACAGGAACATACCTAAACATAATAAGAGCAATATACAGCAAACCAACGGCCAACATCAAACTGAATGGAGAGAAACTTAAGCCAATTCCTCTAAAATCAGGAACAAGACAAGGCTGTCCTCTCTCTCCATATCTCTTCAATATCGTACTAGAAGTTCTAGCTAATGCTATAAGACAACAAAAGGAGATCAAGGGCATCCAAATTGGAAAGGAAGAAGTCAAACTGTCTCTATTTGCAGATGATATGATAGTTTACATTAGCGACCCAATAAACTCTACCAGGGAACTCCTACAGCTGATAAGCACCTTCAGCAAACTAGCAGGATACAAGATAAATTCAAAAAAATCAGTAGCCCTACTTTTTTCAGACGACAAAGAAACAGAGAAAGAAATCAGAGAAACATCACCCTTTACAATAGCCACAAGCAACATAAAGTATCTTGGTGTAACGCTTACCAAACAAGTAAAAGACCTATATGATAAGAACTTTGTGACTCTAAAGAAAGAAATTAAAGAAGATACCAGAAAATGGAAAGATCTCCCATGCTCTTGGATAGGTAGGATAAACATAGTAAAAATGGCAATCTTGCCAAAAGCAATCTACAGATTCAATGCAATCCCCATTAAAATCCCACCACAATTCTTCACCGACCTTGAAAGGATAATAATCAACTTTATATGGAAAAACAAAAGATCCAGGATAGCCAAAACAACCCTATACAATAAAAGAACTTCAGGAGGCATCACCATTCCTGACTTTAAGCTCTACTACAGGCTATAGTTCTGAAAACAGCCTGGTATTGGCATAAAAATAGACAGGTAGACCAATGGAATCGAATTGAAAATCCTGATATTAATCCACGCACCTATGAACACCTGATTTTCGACAAACAGCTAAAATTATACAATGGGGCGAGGACAGCATCTTCAACAAATGGTGCTGGCACAATTGGATGAGGGTGTGTAGAAGACTGCAGATAGACCCATGTCTGTCACCATGCACAAAACTCAAGTCCAAATGGATCAAAGACCTCAACATCAATCCAGCCACATTGATCCTCTTAGAAGAGAAATTAGGAGGTACCCTTGAATAAATTGGTATAGGAGACCGCTTCTTGAACATAACTCCAGGGGCACAGACACTGAAAGAAAAAATTAATAAATGGGACCTCTTCAAACTTAGAAGCTTCTGTAAGGCAAAGAACACAGTGGACAAGACCAAACAGCAGCCCACAGACTGGGAAAAGATTTTCAACAATCCTATATCCGACGAAGGGCTGATCTCCAAAATATACAAAGAACTCAAGAAACTAGTCAACAAAACACCAAATAACCCTATTAAAAAATGGGGTACAGAACTGAAGAAAGAATTCTCAATAGAGGAAATAAAAAAGGCTGAAAGACACTTAAGAAAATGCTCCACATCCTTAGCTATCAGGGAAATGCAAATCAAAACAACTTTGAGATACCATCTTACTTATGCCAGAATGGCTAAAATTAGAAACACAAATAATGACTTATGTTGGAGAGGATGTGGAGAAATGGGAACACTCCTCCACTGCTGGTGGGAGTGCAAACTCATACAGCCATTTTGGAGATCAGTATGGCAGTTCCTCAGGAAAATGGGAATTAGTTTACCACAGGACCCGGCAATCCCCCTCTTAGGCATATACTCAAAGGATTCACATCCATGCAACAAAGACATCTGTTTAATTATGTTCATAGCAGCACTATTTGTAATAGCAAGAACCTGGAAGCAACCTAGTTGCCCCTCAATTGAAGAATGGTTAATGAAGATGTGGCACATCTACACAATGGAATACTACTCTGCAGAAAAAAATAATGGTATCTTGAAATTCGCAGGCAAGTGGATGGCACTTGAAGAAACCATCCTGAATGAGGTAACCCAGTCACAAAAAGAGGAACACAGTATGTACTCACTCATATATGGATTTTAGACCTAGAGCAAAGGATCACCGGCCTATAATTCACATCACCAGAGGAACTAGGATACAAGGTGTATGCTAAGGGATTCATATAAAGTCCCTCACAGAACTGGTAATGGACAAGTTCCCCAGAGCTCAGGTGAAGTGGGGGAGGCAACGAATGGAGAGAGAAGTAGGAGAAAATGAGGGGGAGGAAAGGAAAACATGTGCGACCAGGAAGATTGAGCCTGGTTAGAAATAGAAGATAGGAAAGAGAGAGAGAGACAGAGACACAGAGAGAGAACATAAAAGAGGAAGCCAATATTGGTTTGAATATAAAATTGAACACAAAGAAAGGTCTAGAGAACTACAAGACTGCTCCCAACTAACAATTTGAGCTTCCGTGGAAAGGCTATCATAAATGCCCTTCCCGGAGAGTGAGGTCAACAACTATCTTCTCCATGGAGCCCTCAACTAATGCCTGTTGAAAACAGGATCAAACACCCATACATAAACACTGAGTCGAACTAGAACCCAGATGCAGATGGAGAAGACAAGACTATGCAGCAGAAACACATATAGACAGCTTACCTGAACAAGGAGGAGCTAAGGGCCACTAGACTGATAGCTGGGAAGCCAGCATGGGACTGACTCAGGCCCCCCTGAATATGGGTCTCAGCCAGAAGGACTGAGCAGTCTAAGAGAACTCAGACAGTGGAGCCAGGATGTATCCCTGGTGCACAAAAGGACTTTGCGAACATATCCCCCATGGAGGGATAACTGCCTTAATCTAGAGACAGGAGAGAAGCCCTAGTCCCTACTTCCCATGACCTGTCAGATCTACATGACCCCAACTGGATGGCATTCCCCTACATATGGAATTGGGGTGGGGGGATGGGAGGGGAGGGTGGTTAGAGGGCATATGAGAGGGCAGAGAGGGTAAAAGGGAGGGAAGGAGGGAGGGAGGTATGGAGGGAGGGAGGAAGAGGGAACTGGGATCGACATGTAAAATAATAAATTAAATTAAAAAAAATGCTTTGACTCCAAAATTTAAGTTCAAGGACAAGTTACTGGGGAAAAGGATTTCTATTTTTGTTTCCACAGAAAATGAAAAGATGTGGATTCCTTCCAGACTAATGTGGTTTGATCACGCCAGACCGCGTGAAACAGAGTACCAGGTGATCCTACATTCAAAAGAGCTGGACAAAGCAGCCCTACAGACAACAGCCAGGATTCTGAATCTTCTTTGAATCCCCCATGACAGTGCCCCTTACCAGCAGGAAGTAGTTTGGAAAGAACGACGCCCAAATTCCCAAATATTGTGTATAAATGTTTGTTTTCATTTAATTGGACTTTGTTATATAAAATAAAATAATAAAAAAATAAAAAAAAATAAAAACACACATATCTACATTAAAAAAATCTATGAAAAAATGAAAATTCTGTCAGGTTTCCCTTTATATTTTGAAACACAGAAGCATATTCTAAAGACTCTCAAGGCATTTATTTATCAAAATGTTCTATGCCAAACTTCACACTCGCTCAAAGTTCAATTCAGTGTTTACATCTCAGTACTGGTGTCACCACCTGCATGTATTCCAAAAATCATCTTTTTGACAAAACCATGTGACCAGCAGTCACATGATGAGCCCTATGGTCAGCCTCTTTGTTCCCCTGAATGGACAAGCCACTGCTTGATTACAAGGTCAGACAAAGTTTAAACTCAAAGTTACTGACAAAGGAGGGGGCAAAACATACTTTTTTTTTTTTTTTTTTTTTTTTTGGTTTTTTGAGACAGGGTTTTTCTGAGTTGATTTCCTGGAGCTAGCTCTGCTGACCAGGCTGGCCTGGAACTCACAGAGATCCGCCTGCCTCTGCCTCCTGAATGCTGGAATTAAAGGTGTGCACCACCAAATCCCAGCCAAAACGTACTTTTAAGACAAACAAAATCACAAGTGAAGTCCTTAAGAACGATAATAAAAGGGAATAGCACTTGGAATGAGAGAAATACATATGTTTTCTTTCGGTCAAGCTGTTGATATTCTTCTTGTCCTATCCCTGGATCTCTTCATTGGGTACCACAAAACCTTCATATGAGGCATAGAGAATGTTTATAGTCCTCTGTCCATCCTCCTAGTCAGCTAGTTCAACAATTCTTTCAGCTTTCTGAGGTAGACATCTCTCTCCTTTTAAGTCTTCAGCAGTCAGCTTCGATACTCGGACCTGTTGCACCAGCTGGGCACTTTTCATCCTAGCTGTCCACACCAGGATCCTTTCACACCACCCCAGGTTGACCTCCAGTTGTCGTAGTTCTGTTAAAATGCATCTCTGTGAGGCTGCGCTGCTAGAACTGAGAGGTTTCTTGGGTTTGTGTTGGAACAAGGGAACAGTTGCAGTTTATTGACTCTGGCAGCTGTTGGGTCATAATTGCTTCCATCCATAATGTATGGGAAAACTTCTGGAGCTACTGACTGAATTAAACAAAACAAAAACAAACAAACAAACAAACAAAACCCATTCTGGATTTTCTTTATTGTGTGTTTATCCATCCTTCTTAAATCTGCTTCAGCTCTTTTGAAGCTCTGGATATATTTGTGTTCTAGTTCAACTACTAATTGCACTTTCTTCAAGGCAATGGAACCAGGGAAGAGTACACCCATAAACTGACAGCAATCAGCTTCTGAGCATAGCTGTCCTTTCCTTGTGAGATTCAACTGCAAGGACTCACTGACCAGGCTAGCATAGTACCTAGACTTTGGCTGCCACTGGGGACATGGAATACACTGTCTTTGTTATTCAGCTCTTGCCCGAACCACTTTCACTACTTTACTCTGGTTTTGGTTTGTCACCCTGGAAGATATTCTGACACTGGAATATATTCCAAGGAGGGAAAACAAACAAACAAACACACAAACAACAAATTTAAAAAACCCTCCAGCAGCAACAACCACAACAAAACCCAACCTAAACTACAATGATTTACAATGTTAAAGACACATATTTCAGGCTTTAGCAACAAGGACTGAGGCAGAGTTTCCAAGGAAGTCCTTCTGCAAGCCATGGACGATACAGGAATAGTCATCTGGTCAAAGGTAATAGCCAAGAAATAGAGAAAAGAAAACAAAATAAGCTACACAAAGGAGGCAGAAATGTGGTTTTGACTGAGTTAGATAAGTTTGGATCCATTGTGAGGAGTCTATTTCACTGGAGGGAATCATTTAATGAACCTATGTTAGGAATATTGATGTTGAAGGTCAGTTGACACTGACTTTCTGTTATCTCCAGCTAATGCCTTCATTCTGGGGCCTTGACTCTTCTAAAGAGATGATGGTGTGGGATGGTTCCAACTGGATGGGCCAAAATGGCAGAGTGCATGGCTGAGGAACACCAACAGGAAGTGAGTAACAGTAGCCAGAAATGCCCTTCAGTAGACATTGGACCTTGATCATGACAAGGGGGAGGTAACAGTGTCCAGAGGGTACTGTCATCAGGCACTGGCTCCTGATCATCACATCTTTAATGGACAGAGCTTTAGAGGTGCTGCATTTCCTCCATCATCATTGAAACCGACACTGAAGAAGGGCCGCAGAGGTCCAGCAAAGGCACACTCCGAGAAGGTGTAGATGAGGGAGCCATGGTCAGTGATGTTGTAGAAGGAGACAATGCCAGCCTCATAGTCTACAAAGATCCCAACTTGGCATGGAGGCACCTGAAGGTGGAGGGTGGTCTGGGGGTTGGTGCCAGCCTCATAGTTGTCTTTTTTCCACAGCCAAATGGTCCAGAAGCCATTCTCAGGACTGAGTGAAAACTGTCCCTTCCTCTGCACAGACTCTCTGCAAACCCCAAGATCCCAGGCCTCCTTTCTGGTCACATCTACCTCCCAGTACATCTTCCCAGAGGTGAATCTTTGGGCACCTAGCACCATAGGGTAATTATTAAATCTCTCTTTGTTTTCAGACACATTTTGATGGCTCTCTCCAATCCTCACTTGTCTCCGATCCTTTGGGATGATGAGCCATGGGTTGGCTGTGTTGCGATCTAGAGTAATATGGACTGCAGGAAAAAGATCATAGGTAAGTCTGGGTGGGGCCAGCAACTCTTTGCCTGTAGTGAGGGGATTCATGTAAACTCAAAGGTGACCCTGAACCTCACTATGTGAAGAAATGACCCCCCACCCTGGCCCTGCCTGTGATGTGTGAAGAAACCTTACCTAAATGTCTCTATTCCACCTGTACTTGCCACCTTTTCCACATGCCACCATCCTGTGCTCTCTGTGACCATCCATTCTGCACCCTCATTATCCCATTCTATTCTAGCCCCCAGTTCCTAGACGTCACTTTACCCCAACATGTCCTTAGCATCTTCTTCCGCCCTGGCACATGGCACGCATTTGTCAGGTCTGGGGAGGCAACATCTAATGATCCCAGGTTCAAGGATCTACTCCTAGAGGAAAAAGAGTTGGCACTCCTGTCTTCTACCCCAAGTCCTAATGACATTCTTCATAGATGACTTTGATAATCACATTCAATACAAATTTACAAATACTCATGTATTCAATGTCCACGTGAAAGGTTAAAAAAAATAGTTTCAGAGTTTCAAGTTCTAGGTAACTCAAATAACCTCCACCTCTTCCCAAAGCCAGAGGTCACTACTAAGTGGACTCCATTTAATTTTTAGGCAACCATCTAATAGGGTGAGTTCTGTGAAGAACCTGGAGGATCCTAGCAGACTCAAATTACCTTTTTTTGGTGGGGTGGGGACTTTCAAAAGATGATATAGTCTAACTGCATCAGGCAATTCACCAGTTGAGATGTCCATTAGCCTTTTGAGGCCAGACAACATTTTAGAGAGGACCAGGTCTCTGAGACTAGGGATACACGGGGAAAACTCCCAATGCATGTGTGCCTAACTCCGTAACCATTTCTATGTACACACACTTCCCATTCCCTTTCTAACTGAGGAAATCTCTCCTTACCTTTCCAGGACAATCCTCACCTCCTGAGGAGAGAAAAGACATAGAGTCAATTCTGGAGTTTCTGATTGATCACCGAGATGGAACTCCCAAGGTCATGTGACATCACCCATGTTTCCTCTGTGTTCTGGTCTGCAGCCTTCCCTTAGGCCACAGATGACTCTGAGTAGCTCTTAGCAGAAAGGATTTGTGACTGCTCACAGAATTTCTAGGAAGCTAACATGGATATGGCCTGTAGCTTGGATATGATCAGGGGTTTAAAGACTGATTGATAAAACAAATTAGAAGGGCTAGGTTCTTGAAGGAGGATGATTGACCCTGGAGATGGTAGAACAGGAAAATAAACAGCGCAACCCGACTGAAGCCCAGAGACTGTCATGGGAAGAGAATGGCTGGATAGGATATTCAGAAAGGAACCTTGCCATTTATGGGCTTGAGTTGTTTGGGGAGGAGGGTTTGGTTAGTTGGTTGAAAACTTTGTCATGTGCTATGGTTAATCCTCTGCTGTATTTAGAGTGAGCTTAAGTGAGAATATTTATTCCTAAGGAGTGACAGCCACAATGTTGGAACGGGCAACCTCCTAGGCTCAGTCAAAAGGCACTAGGAAGCCCAGTTCAGTGATAGGCAAGGGAAAGCCTTCTAAGCCCAAACCAGTATCATCAGCTTTTCTGAACAAAACCTCAAGGAAATGTCTGTATGCCTCTGACTGAGGGACAGGGACAGAGGTGTGAGAAAAGAAGCACAGAGATCATCTAGACCATAGTGTTCCAGTGTAAGGCTAACACATCATGGGTGGATGCAAGATGGCGTTAGAATGCACACAGTTTTTAAAAAACAATGATGTACGCATTTCATTTGAACTTTTGCCTCTTCCTACTTAGATAAACTGATGTCATTTAGCTTGACTCTTTTACTAAGTTTATTAATGTCTTTGCTCCCTAGTCTTCTCATGCATGGATTGGGATCACAGTAGCACTTACCTGAACCGTGGTAAGCCATCTGTGTCCTGTTTAGGAATGTGCAGTTATCATTATGGGAAAAAATTAGAAAAAATAGTAGCACCAACACATAATTTCTTAGTTATCATGCTTTGGAAAAAATATTTTAAAGCTAAATTTATTTTGGGAAAAGAGTGAGACTATTTGCAGAAGCAGAACTAGTTAAAAATCATGCAGGGAGCTCTCAGAAATCATAGGAAGTATTAAAATGCAACTATGACTAATGTTAGGGGTACTCTCCTGTATCCCGCTCCCTCTACAGCTTTATCATTGGAGAAACTGACTATAGGAAAGAAAAACTGTTTCCCATGACCTATCACTATGGAGAGAAGTTACACAGCTCAGTTTTGGAAATTATACTTTCAAAAACATCCTTATGGCTACTTGTCTAAGCACCAGAATGGATTTTCTCATTTAATTCCTTAAAAGAGAAAACCACTTGAGATATGTAATACTATATATCCTGGTGGCATGAGGTAAGTGTCATGCTCCAGCTCCCACACCTGGCATTTCCCAGGGAGTCTATCTATTGGTTGCTATATGGAGCACATTCTCCTGTATCTGTTCCTTGCTGTTCTGGAATGGAAGCCACCCCTGGGTTCACATTTCTGTTTATTTAAGACTGTCCCAAAGATTAAGGTAGCACTTGCATTAGGAGCAGTTCCAGATAACTCTGCTTTTCTCCCAGTTTCTCTTAGTGCCCTTGCATGGATCGCACCTGCAGGAGCTCCAGCTTAGAGCTCCGGATCCTCCTCTCCAGCTCTGCGATCAGCTCCTGCAGGGCCTGGTTCTTCTCAGCCAGCTCAGCCTCCTTTTCCCCCAGGAGTTTCAGGTGCTCTCTCTCATCCTTCTCCAGTTTCTGCAGCTGCCTCTGCTCCTCCTTGGCCAGCAAGTTATTCTGGTGTAAAAACTCCGAGTGAATCCTCGACTTTTGTATGTCCACGTTCCTCTGTGGTGGCAAGGGAAAGACAGGAGTTTTACATTTTTATTTTTAATAAAAAGTTCCTAGGCTTTAGTGGTGGAGGAGTTTCTGTTCCCTGGTCACCCATCCCTCTGTTTATGCCTGGGAATAGGCGCCTGCGCATACCCACCCCACTCATGCTCTGCAGAGTGCACAGTGCCTCTAGAACTGTCAGGGAAACAGCACTGTTAAGGTGGCACACAGCAACTTCTGGCAGCAACAGATAGCTTCTCAACCTTTCTTCTAAAACCCAGCGACACCCTTGGGGAGTCCCTTTGTCCTCTTATCTCCACAAGTCACAGATAGTAAATCTGTTCCCATTTCCAATTATACACAATTCCTAAGCCCTGGGGAACAACAGTGGTCCCAGGTCTTTAGCATCTTGGGAGGGTCACCGGACGATGTAGGATTGCAGGATGACCTCTTTTACTTTTTTTAATTTTTAAAATTTAGATTTGAAACAAGCTTGTTTTACATGTCAATCTCAGTTCTCCCACCCTCCCCTCCTCCCCTGTCCCCCAATACCCCACATCCCATCCCCTTTCTGTTTCCCAGGGAGGGAAACAGGGAGGGTGAGGCTTTCCATGGGGAGTCTTCAAAGTCTGTCATATCACTTGGAGAAAGGCCCAGGTCCTCCCCCCATGTGTCTAGGCAGAGGAAGTATCTCTCTATGTGGAATGGGCTCCAAAAGTCCATTCGTATACTAGGGATAAATACTGATCCACTACCAGAGGCCCCGTAGACTGTCCAGTCCTCCTAACTAACACCACATTCAGGGGAATTTGGGTCGGTCCTATGCTGGTTTCCCAGCTATCAGATTGGGGTCCATGAGCTCCCCCTTGTTCAGGTCATCAGTTTCTGTGGGTTACTCCAGCCTGGTCTTGACCCCTTTTTGCTCATCACTCCTCTCTCTCTCTGTAACTGAATTCCAGGAGTTCGGCTCCATGTTTAGCTGTGTGTGAGGATGACCTCTTTTGCCACCACAGCCTTTGTTAACCCCAGTTCCTCTTATGGGGTCTGTGATTGCTGTAAGCCCTTTACATTCCTCATCAATTTCAGATGTATCCCATTTTCTACTGGCAAATTATTAATGTGACAGGCTTTTGTCATCATCAAGTAGCCACTGAGTCAGGTGGGCCTCCTACATCCGACTTACATAGATCTTTTTGGGCTGTGTTGTCGGGTCCTCCCCCAACCCCTCCTATGTCATGTCTGAAGGGCATAGGAGTTGGGATTTCCTCACAGGACACCTCAGACCCAGAAACTACAGTGTTGACTCTGTTATCCCAAAACTGTTATCCACTGAGACAGGGTCAAGACAGGGTCTTGATCTTTGTGACAGATTGGGGGAAATCTCATCTGATTTCAAGTTTCCTGCCTTCTTTCTTTCTTAAATTCCTCTCTATTTAGAGATAGTGTGGATGATTCTCGGGGAGTGACCTATAAAACAATTCCCCCACCCCGTGCATAGGCACAGTCATAGTTAATGCTTGCTTGGGTCAAGACCTGGGGCCTATCCTATCCCCAGATTCTTGCCTTCCAGTCTGTTCTTTGCATTGCAAGATCCATTTCCAGCTTCTCGGCCAATTCTTTCCCTTTCCTCAGTTTTTCTAGCGCCATGAGGAGCTTCTCCTGTAGAAAAACGTGGCAGGTTAGTCCCCAGCTAGAGATGTGGAGGAGGGGATGGGAAGACTTTGGGGGGAAAACCTAGTATGTCTTTCAAAGCAGAATGACAGTGATGGAGTAATGGGATCTGGGTCATTACATTTCTAATTTGCCAGGAAGCCAGAGGAAGCATGATCCACGCATGTCCCATGACATGGCCTCTGCTCCTGAGAAATAGGCTTATATTTGATGCATAAGTACCTCTCAGTGAAAGGAGAAATTATCCCTCCATTCCCCAACTTCTTTGCTATAGGGGTGACTCTCAGCCACTGTTCTGGGGAACAAAGCATTCTTCATGGAGCATCTTCTTTATACCTACCTGTGTCTCTGTGCTAGGGCCTCACCTGGTACACCAGAGCAGCCTCTTCAATAGGGACCTTGGTGTGGTCACGGTGTTTCCCAGACTGGGCACACACCCAGCAAAGGGCCTGCCCATCTTCCTCACAGAACACATGAAGTTTCTCTCCATGCTTCATGCAGCGGTCTTCCTGGGTGCCCTTCTTGGCATCCCTGGCTGTTTGTTTAAGGTTTTCTATCGTGTTGGCTATATGTCGATTGGGCCTGAGGTTTCTGAGCAGAAACTGTTGTCGGCACTCGGGACATGAACCACCACCATTTTTTCCAACCTCAGAAATGCATTCCTTGCAGAAGCTATGGCCACATTCGATACTCATAGGCTCCACCATGGGGTCCAGACAGACAGAGCAGGTGACATCCTCCCACATCTTTTCCAGAGACATCTTTGAGGCTTTTGAGTGCAGAGAGGGGAAAGGAAGAGATAAATGAAAGTTTGAATGACAAAAGCAAAAGCAAGACAATACCAGAAGTCCCCAAAATAATGCAAAAGGAAACATATGAGAGAATGTCATGGGAGGGAAAAACCAAACGAAGGCAAGAGTATCAACCTGAACAACAGCAGCCTCTCCTCCATAGTCTGACCCATTGATTCAGTCAGGCAGAAGGGGAAACTGAATCTCCAGAAGAGGCACTGATAATGCTGTTAATAATTCCACTCCACCATATTCACCCCTGCTTTAAGCCTAGTATCCAGACATCTCCCACATACCTCCTCTCATCTCATCCAGGCCTTCATGGTGCGAGAGTGACCATTTACTGTATACCATATTTACTAAGCACCCTCCATATTCCAACTGGGTGCTACATGCTTATGTCCATCTTCATTAATCTTGACAATAACCACAGGTGTTAGGGATTAGGAGTCAAAGGTTTACTCAGTTATTCATTACATGAGACATTTTGGTCAAATACGATGATGAACAATAGGCTATATCACACAGCCTAGGTGTGTCATTAGTTACTCTCTCAGGTTCATACAAGTATACTTTTCAAGGTGTGTGTTCATTATGACATCATCTAAGGGTACATTTCCCAGTCATTAGGGTTGCATGTGTAAGTATGTATGTATGTACATATGTTCTTATATATAAAATATACTTGAGCACAAATGCATCAATGTAGGTGTGCCCACACATTCTGCTATATGAATGTTTATGTATATATGTGAATATGTGTACTTATCCATACACATTTGTTAGGGGGCACTTGCTGGGCTTTTCTCTAAGTCTCTCCAAACCTAGTACCTGTCTCAACTTCCTTTAGGGCGTTGAGTGTCTTAAACCCACATAAATTTCCAGTAGAACATTCCAGCAGAGGTCTTCAAGGGGTAGGAGTTTCCCTGGGCTCCTCTCTGGGCTAGGTCACAGGCTGCTTCTCCCTCCTTTACTAGCCCCCCTCGCCTCAGCTCAGGCACCAGTCACTAAAGCAGCCCCTTCTAGGCGGGGCACCAGGAAAGTCACATTCAGAGCCCGGCTTCCCCTGGCCTGTGTGGGCAGCCTGTCAGGGCTGGAACTGGGGAACTCTGCAGTTGCGCCAGCAGGTTCGGCGTGGGGGGCGCTGGTGGGAAGGGGCTCCTTGAATCTGGCGCAGGAGAGAGCACTCCTAGGTGGGTCGGGGATCCCAGCCTCACTCACCTTTCCAGGGTCGTCAGCTTGGGCTAAGGGCTCCCAGAGTCCTTTCACAAGCCTGCTACCTAAATTTCACTTTCAGTTTCCTCTCAGAGGCTTGTCTAGAAGGAAGCAGGAGGCGCAAGGGGAGGAGCTCATAGTTGAGCCGCTAGGGAAGGACAGAAGCAGGGAGGCGGAGACTTGTGTGGAGAGTGTGAGAGAGAGGTCAGAGGGGCTAGAAGCTGCTGACTGCTAGCTGCAGGCACAGGTGGAGGAAACTGCCCTGCTGTGTATGTTCTCTCAGGCCTGCTGGTCTTATTTAACAACGTAATCTACAGGATATCAACGTGTTGTCTTTGACACTGGTCTTCACCTCCCATCTGGGAGCATCTGGGAGAGAGGGTCCCCATGGAGAGGAATCACTATTTGCTTGTAACTTCCAGGAATGGGTTCCTTCCCACAAGATTGGTAGTTCTTTAAAATCTGGGGTGAAAGATCCCTTCACTGTTTTAATTAGCATATATTAATTGTACAGTGTACTTTAATTATACTCATTTCCCACCACCCCATCTTCCGAGTTTTCTCCCCTCTTCTCAAATAGTCTGGGGTGAGAAATTTATTCCTTATGATGTCAAGGTAGGTGTTGCACCAATGAAGGGAGTAGAGATTTGTGAGCATTGACTTTATTATAACTTGCGCTAAAAACACTGGTTGAATTTTCCTTGACACATAAAAACATCCAATACTTTGGAATTTCTAGTCCTATTTAAGAGACTCCCCCCCCACCCCAGCCAAAGGGCATTGTCTAGCTTGTGCTGCTATAGTGGGATTTGAATCCACACAAACAGTCCCAGGAACCACAGTGAAAATCAGTCAAGCATCTGAAAGGACAAAGAGAGCTGTAGACATCAGGAAACTCTGCTGTATACCCCTGAAGACATGTTGCTGTTTCACGAAGGCATTGAGTAAGCCACTACTGAGGTCAGAAAAGAAACTTATCCCAAGATAAGGTAGAGGTAGATTCGGTGTCCATTTTGCTATATACCACTAGATGGCTCTCTGTTTTTTTGTTTACACACTGGATTGATAACACCCACCCTAGGATCCTATTGGAACATATGCATACAGGCTGACTAATAACATCCAAAGTATCACTCATTCCAAATTCCCTTCACCTACTGATAGTGCTTTGGTATTTCAGTCTCCTTTTTTCCTGTTAAAATGACCCAAGTCTTTCTTTGGGAAAGAACAATGCCACTGACATTATTGTCCAGAATATTAGTGGTGTTAGATGTTAGTGAAGTGAGAATATTATGGATTTTAGTCGTAATCTCCATTGACTTTAATGTATGTCAGTAGCCAAAGTTGTCCCGGTATGGAGAAGTGCACTCTGGCCAGGACAGGAACTGCATCCTCTGCCTATTTCTATATTTCTATAGTGACCTAAAAAGCTCCAAAGACGTGAAAGCTGCCTGGGAAGAGGAAGGGCTCAACAGGAATGGGGGATGGACAAGAGTGGGTGACAGAGTGTTGCTGGCTTTACCCATGCATCAGAATTACCCTTTACTCTCATAGGTAAGGCCTTTGTCGATTTCTGTTCCTGTAATAAAGTACCATGGATTGAGTAACTAAAAAAAAAAATCTTTCTTTTTTTATAGTTGTGGAAGATGGGAAGTCCAAGATATCAACAGATTTGCTGCCTTACACTCGCTCTCTTCTCAAGACGAGGGGCGAGGTCCTTGAACCTTTTTTTTTTTTTTTTTTTTTTTTTTTGATAAGGATCCTAATCCACAGCTTCATTTCTTCTTCTTGTTGTCATCATCATCATCATCTGTAAGGAGTACGGTTTTTTCCACCTGCTGTTGCTGGTCTTGTCCTGTTGCCACGCCGCCAGCCCCAAATAATGCACAGAGACTCTGTATTTGATACAATGCTATTGGCCAGGTGTTAGTTTCTAATCGGTTAGCTCTGTCTTAATTATTAACCCATTTTTATGTATTTCCTCGTGGTCTCCTTACCGGGGAGTGAGGCAGGCGTCTGGTCACCCCGGTCTCTCCATGCTGACTCCTTACTACTTTCTCTTCCTCCTTGTCTCCTAGTCCCTCCTATCCTCCTTTCCTATTGGCCAACAGTGCTTTATTTATTAACCAGTATGAGAAACATATACAGAATGACATCTCACTTAAGACAGAACTAGCCTATAAAAAACAAATAATAGACCAACAACATTATATCAAATACAAAGTCTCTGTACATTATTTGGGGCTGGCACGGCGGCGGGACAAGACTAGGCTGCCGACAAAAAAAAAAAAAAAAAAAAAAAAAAAAAAAAAAAACTGTACTCCTTACAATCATCATCATCTTGATATATGAATTTCATGAATATGCAGACATTCAGTCCCCAGCTGACAGGTTTTCAAATTGGTACCATACCTGTGCTCTTAACAGGACATAACGTAATTCTACTGACTACCTATCCTTTCTTTCTTTCTTTCTTTCTTTCTTTCTTTCTTTCTTTCTTTCCTTCTTTAGATATAAAACTGTAGGCCAGTTACTTATTTCTTATCGTCTAGCTCTGTCTCAATTATTAACCCATTTCTATTAATCTAAGTATTTCCACGTGGTCTTATCTTACCAGAGAGAGGGGCTGGCATTCTTTTCTCTATCCTCCATCTTGGATCACCTCCCTCCTACTTCCTCTCTCCTCCTTGTCTCCTAGTCCCGCCTATCTTGCTTTGCTATTGGCCAACAACGCTTTATTCATTAACCAATAAGAGAAACATATTTATAGAATGACATCTCCCATCATCCTCTCTTTTCTGTCTAAAATAAAAAGAAGGGTTTTAACCTTAACATAGCAAAATGTATAACAAAACAGTTATCAAATAAGAACCACAGTTAACAGTATTTAGTCCATTAACATTTAGCAAGATTTAAAGAAAATATTTCATCATCTATCCATCGTTGTGAGTCTGAAGTCCTACATGTAACTTATCTTTAATCCTAACTAAAGACAACTATAACCATAACTATCTGTCTTCAACTCCTTCAAAGACCACAGAAGGATAATATATAAACTCTAGAAATGGCAGAGACAACTCGCTGCCTGATCAGTCACCTGAAGTTCTTCTGTAATGTTCCACCTTCAGCCCATAGGCCATAGTGTGTCTGGCAGACTCCTCAGCAAAGCAAGAAACTTTAAACTGTCCATCTGTATTGGCAGTTTGTCAGTCACTTTTCTCTGTGTCCTGCAGACTATCTGGCAGACTCTTCTATGAAGCAGGAACCCTGTAGCAATGTCCATCTTGTATCAGCAGTAACTTTCCTGTGGGTCCTGCATGTCCAGTTTATACAGCATAAAGTCAAACAGTCCAGACAAGAGCAGTATCTTGCTCAAATGGCTAGTCTTGCCATATTGAAAGCAAATTCCATAACGTGTTTCTTCAAGGTCCATCTTCCTTTCTGATGCTGGTGGTGTTGCCAGGAGCAATTGTGCCTCACTGTTAAGAAAAACTCTAAACCATTTTAAATGCCATATTATGTAGGTCTTTGAACGGTTTGAAGAATGCCTATCCATCTCAAATACATCTTTGTGTATCTTGAAAACCTAACTAACTTAACTCTAAGTTTTGATTATCATAGGTAACTATCTATAAAATCTGTATTAAATTATACATTACATTTTTAAATGAGCTATATAAACACAATACCTAAACAAGAGGAGAAATATACACATCACAAAATTGACCTTAAATTGTATCAATAAATGAAAATCCATTTTAAAACAAAGTATTCATCTCTATACCTTTTTACCT